AGAGCATTTAGCCTTGGCACACAGGGTGCGTGACTAGTGGGCCCAGACAAGAGTCATCGAGGGATTGGGGAAAGATACTAAACCTCTCTGTGCCTCAGTCTTCTCATCTGTAAACTGGGGTCAATAACAGAACCTAACTTAAAGGGGATTTGTAAGGATTCAACGAGTTTATTCATTTAAAGTGCCATAGAGCAGAGCCCGGGGTGAGGTCTTTCGTCAAGCATGTGATGTCTTTTTATTTTAGCCTGAACTGCGCACACTCTTCATCAGTACACATAAGCAAAACCGTTAAAGAACAGAGTAGGCTGCTGTGAAGTCAGAATTTAAAAATCATGGTGGTGACGGCTGCCTGACAGTGTGAACGTACCTCAGGTCACAGAACTGTAGTTGACTCTGAACAACGCAGGGGTGAAGGGCGCCGACACGCCCGCACATTCGGAAATCCTCAAGTAACATTTGACTCCCTCAACACTGCAGTCATCCCTCAATGTCCACGGGGAATTGGTTCCAGGACCCCCGTACATGGGGGCAGATGGGCTTCCCCCAACTGCTCACCCTTTCTCTCTGGACACCAGGGCCTTCTCTGCCTAGGTCTCCAGCAGGGGGTCCCGTGGGGTGAGGATCCTCACCACTCCCCCGGGGGCCTTCAGGACGACCTGGGTGAACTGCTCCCAGACAGAGGGACAGCTCCTATCGATTTCCCTCTGGCTTGCTGTCCTTCTGCGGAGCGGGCTCCGCTCCCCCGCTGAAGGAAGGGCCCCTTGAGGAAGCAGTGCCCTCAATGACCAGCACGTCCTCCTACCGGCCTTCAGCTGGGAGCCCTGCTCTGTGAACGGAAAGTACACAGATATTCTGATACCAGGGGCCCTTATTCCCTGTGTGACCCTGTTCAAGTCACTGTCCCTCTCTGGACCCCAGTGCCCCATCCATAAAATGGGACTGTACATCCTTGTCTGCTACCCTCCTGAGGCTTTGGGAGGCTCAGAAGGGAGAATGGAGGCAAAGGTGTTTTGTTTCTTTATTACATGATATGACCACATCGAGAAGTAGCATGGCAGTGGCTACAGCCATGGTCAGGGGCCTGCCTGCTGGGCTCAAACATCTGCCCCACCACACACCAGCCATATGACCTTGGACAGTTTACTCAACTTCTCCAGGCCTCAGGTTTTCTCATCTGTAAAATGGGATGGTAATAGCAAACGAGTTATATCTGACAAGCACTTAGAACACTGCCTGGCACATGGTACATGTAAGATAAATTCAAAATAAATAATAGTAACTTCTATTGATCATTCACTCTGAGCAGGCACTTTTCTAAGCTATTTACCCATCAGTGGATTGAAATGAACTTTTAGCAAAATGAATAAGAACTCTGAACAGAGCTTACAATTTAAATCAGAAGCACAGAGTTCCTTTCTTTTTACTCAAAGTGATGATACCTAACGACCTAAAGATTCAGGGATGGGGGAACCATCTGTGCTGGGGGCACCAAACCCCCCTTAACTGGATGGAAACAAAAAGCCTTGGGCCCCTCCTTTACCCCCTTAGTGCTGGTTGAGAATCTAAAGCTCTAATTCTTAGCTAATCTAATTCTTAGCCAGATCCACTCTCAAATGATCTTATTACATCTGGGGGCAAGAAACAGATACAATATCCCACGGTTGCCCAGGGTCAGGGACCCAGCCCAGCTCTCTGCCCTCCTTTCCACACCATTCCACCAGGAAAGTCAGGGTCTTGGCTTGTACTGTTCTAGTGATGGGAAGCTCACCCCTTCCGGGGGCAGAAGAGCTCAACCGTTAGACTTCCTCCTTCTACTGAGCGGAAATCTACAATTTCTCCCCACAGCACACCAACCACATCCGTTGCCCTTCAGACATCTGAGGCCCCTGACTACGTGCCCCTGGGATGGCTTCATTCCGGGTTAGGGAGTTTCTTGCATGACTCAGTTTCCCATTGCCTCCCCATTTGGGTTACCTCCCCAGAGTGCTCCAAGCTGTCCCTGTCTCGCACCCAGACCATCCTCAGACCCTCCAGATGCAGCCTGAGAATCACTCACTAGAGCAGTTCCTCCAAAAGATCCCAGACTTCACATCTCAGAATAGTAGCACTGGCCAGACCCCAAATAGATCATGGGGTACAGGAGGGAAAACTGAGTCAGTATGCCTCAGGCCATCCAAACAGGGCAGAACCAGGAATGGAATCCAGGTTTCCAGCCCCCCAGCCCGGGACAGTCTTCTAAGAGAGGGAACAAAGTTTCCTTTGATCCTGTGCCTGGATACCATACCAAACTTTTCATTCCTTATCTGTGTTGCCATTCTCAGAGGGACGAATTCCAAGGATGGCTGGGGAAGAAAGGTCTTCTAATTGTGAGGCCGGAGGTCATTCATCCTCGCTGGGCCCTTCTGGGTCTCAGGTCTTTGGAAGGGGGCTGTATTTCTTAGGATGGAAAAGATGGGGCTCCTTGGGGCCAGGAGAGAGGGCAGATCCCAAGTCTGTGGTGCTAGAAAGGCCAGCAGAGCCCCAGCAGCCCCCACGGTGGAAGGGTAAATTGGGGCACATCAACTCAACCCACATTTTCCAAGTCTCCAGCTGGAGACAGACCCTTGTGCTGTGGGCCAGAGGGAGTCCTGGGGTCTCTGCCCTGGGAATGGGTAGGAAAATGGACACATCACACTCCACTCGAACAAGGTGTGATCGCCAGCGTGGTGGTGTGTCAGCGTGGCGGACGCAGAGAAAGAATAGGAAGTTGGAGCAGTGGGACCCAAGCTTTTTTTTTTTCAGTCGTCACCCAAGGATATTTTTTCCATTGCTTTTTCAGAGAGAGAGAGTGTGTGTGGGAGAGAGAGAGAGAGAGAGAGAGAAACATTGATGTGAGAGAGACACATTGATTGGTTGCCTCCAGCAAACGCCCTGACCAGGGCTGGGATCAAGCCTGCAACCAAGGTACATGCCCTTGGCTGAAATCAAACCCGGGACCCTTCAGTCCACAGGCCAACATTCTAACCACTGAGCCAAACCGGCTGGGGGCGGGGACCCAAGCTTTTAAAAATTACTTTCTTTTTTAGATAATTCTTTCTTGCACCCCAAAGAGTGTCTTACATACCTCACTTTGGAGGCCACCAGAACAGAAGATGGAGAGACCCTCAGAGGGGATTTTCAGGCTTCAAGGGATGGCAGAGATCGTCTCGTCTAACCTCCTCACTTTGCAGATGAGGAAACAAGGACCTGGGATGGGATGTAACTTGTCCAAGGTCACCTGCTAGTCAGTGGCAGAGCCCAGAGAGAACGCAAATCTCTAGTTCTTGATGGTAAAACCGGCTGCCTCCGTGTCCTGGCCACAATCCAGCCCCTTACTGGCCCCCTTACTATGCTGGAGGCAGGTCCCTGCATGGCTCAGCCCATGGGGCTGCCTCCCAGTGGCTGTGAGATCACTTATCGGCTCTGAGGGTTGCTGTGGGTGGCAGGGAGATGTGCATCCCAGCAAAGGTTACAAGTGCTATCAGAATGGGGAACATGGGGCCATCAGAGGCTTCACTCTAAAACCTCGTCTTCCTTACCTGTGAAATGGGTCTAATCAAATCCAGCTCTCAGGCTGTTGTCTGAGTGCCCGTGGAGTCCCATGGGCAGCTGTGAGCTGGAAAGTAACCTGAGGGCCGTTATTGCTGCTCATACACTCTGGCAGGTTATGTTTTGGGGGAGAGATCTGGGATGCCCGAGGATTCTGCTTTTGACCACCAAGAACAGCCCTGGCCGCTGCAGGACTTGGAGTCCCTGCAGCCCGGTGGTCCCAGGGTGTTCCAGCCCAGGCCTGGCATGGGCATGAGCAGCTTTGGACATGGGTCCTGGGCCTTCTGAGGCACAGGCCTGAATTCCTGCTCCTGTCTCTATGGCTCTATTCCCCCCTTTTGGCAAGGGGAAGTCGGGGAGGGGCAAGGGTGGTATGGAGGGGAACAGTCAGCCTAGGTGCAGACAGTAAGGGGGTGTATTTCCTAGAGAGCTTAAAAATATTAAAATGGACTAAAAATCTGACTTTTTATCATCATGACAGGCCCACAATTCTAAACAATGTCGGTGATAAAACACTTCCTTGCCAGGGTGGGCTGCTCCCGCCTCCCTGCTGCTGGTATCTGGCCAGTACCTGATTCTATTCCCCTTAGACTGAGCCAAACCCAACTGTATGTGTGTTGCATCCCAAACAGGCTCACATGCTTCCTGTCACCAGCTGCTTGCTTGTGTGATTCCTTTGCCAATAACTCCCTCCCACCGCTCTGTATGTCCAGCTCCTTTAAGTCAGCTAAGCTGTTCCCTCTTCCAGGAAGTCTTCCTGCATGCATCCTTGTCTGCCGCCCCGCTAGCCAAAACTCCCTTCCCTGGCCTCCTGACTCCCAACCTGGGTGTAGACTCAGCAACATTATGTTCTCGTCTCCAGAGGAAGGTTCAAGAAAGGAATCACGCTCTGAAGTCTGGAGCTCACAGCACAGAAAACCCCACCAGGAGAGCCACTTCCTAGCTGTGTGACCTCAGACAAGTCCCACGGCCTCACCAGTCTGTGTCCCTGTGCACAAGGACCATCTCATCTTCATCTCAGCTTCCTTCCCTTATGACTGCCATCCCTTCTCTTGGCCACACCCTGCACCCTGTCATCATGCAAGAATGTTCCACCTGCTTCCAAAGTCACTAATTCAAGCACCCCTGGCTGACCATACCCTCCCCACCTCCAGCTTTTGCCAGATGTGACCAGCCCTTTGTCATACCCCTGATGGATCAATAAAAACAGGTTCAGACCCAAGGAGAGAGCCCTGGACCACAGACCCCTCTCCAGGAAAATATAACCCATGGCCCATTCCTCCTTCCAGCTTCACCTTGCCAGGGACCAGAGCAACACTCAGTGCTTTTAATTCTTCAAAGGCCCATTGCCTGCGGCCTCAGGGCTTCGCACAGTCTGCTTCTCTTGTCCAGGTGCTCCCCTCCCCACCCTCACCTGGCTATTCCCTACTCACTTTTCAGATGTCAGCTCAAAAATCCTTGCCTCAGACAGCCTTCTGCAGCGACCCTGGACTAGGTACATTACTCTGCACGCTGTCACACCTTCTCTATTCATCCAGGCGCCTCCTCCAGGTTTTGCCGGACTCCAGATCACTGCCCATATCTCCTTTGTCTGTGAGCCAATGAAGGCAGCGCCTGTGCCTGTTTTGCTCTGCTCTGTATCTCTAGCACTGAGCCTCGCTTCACAGGCAGAGAGTGATTGATACACGAACAAAGGTCTCATTGAAAAATTAAATGAAAAATAACTTGAAGCCCTGGCCGGGTGGCTCAGTCGGCTGAAGTGTCGTCCCATACATCAAAAAGTTGACGGTTCAGTTCCCCATCCGGGCATATACCTAGGCTGCGGGTTCGATCCCTGGTCAGGGCGTGTATGGGAAGCCACCAACCGATGTTTCTCTCACTTCAATGTTTCTCTCTCTCTCTCCCCCTTCATCTCCCCCTGATAATCAGTAAAAACATATCTTCGGGAGAGGATTAAAAAAACAAACTTTAAGGACTAAATGAATGGGCTAGTCTGGGTGAGATTCAGGAATGTCTGTGTGGGGCAGGTCTGTGGCTGGGCCTCGCTCCGGGGTGGACCACAGGCCAGCCTCCTCCTGTGATGGTCACAGCAAGGACGAGGCGAAGGCCCCGGCCAGCAAGCTCTCGAGGCTCCTTCCTGCCCATCGCCCCCCAGCCCTCTGCCAGGCCTGCCCCATTACTCACAGCACTGGGCACTGCATGACCGGCTCCCTGGGGCACCTCTGAACTGGCAGACGGTTTACTCCACATTGTGAACACTCTCTTCTTCCCCAGGGCCAGAGCTCAGGAGCCTTTTCTTTGTGGGGTCGGGTGCGGACAAAGTGGTGGGATCTAGTCAGAGCAGGGTTAAAATCCCAGCTTTACCTCCTGCTGGCTGTGTGACCCAGCAAAAATCACTTAACCTCTCTGGGCCCCTATTTCCTCATCTGTACAAATAAGACAAGAACATCTAGCCAGAGGTTGCTGTAAGGATTAAATGAATAAAAGTACATTAAGGGTCTAGTCCAGGGTGGGGCCTGCTGCGTGTCACGTCTAATTGATTTCAAGACAGTTTTTAACCTTTTAACATTTCTAAAACTGAAATGCAACTCATAGTCAGAGTTTGTCTGCCATTTTTTCTTTCCTAATGGATTATAAAACAATAGCATCTCTCCCACTAGATGGTGCCCTGCATGCAATGAAATTCAGCAGTGGCTTAGTTTCTTTACATCCTTCGCAAAGAGGCAGGAAGGTCTGTGGGAGCCCAGGGTCCAGAGACCACGAACACACATTGTTGAGGGACAAGGGCCTGCTGAGGTCTGGTATGACACGGAACCCTAACGCATCAGGGAACTTGAAGGCACAGGCCCTTTCCCAGCGCGATGGCCTCTGAATCTGTCCCGCTGTCCTAGTCCCACTGGGGGAGGGAGGGTCGGCGAGACCTCCAGCAGGACCCTCCCCTTTCTGGCTCTGACTCTATGCTCCTGGTGACATAGCCTGCACTCCCTGGCTTTGGGGGCAGTTTGGTCACAATGCTAACTGTGTCTGTAGCCACCTAAAATCCCCAGTCTTTGTCCCAAGAGGAGAGACCTGAGACCCACCCAGAGACCTCTCCTCCAGTGCGACCCATTTATTAAGCGACCCCAGACTCTGCTCTCAACTGTTCTGGAAGGAAGCACTGAGATGCCACCCAGACCTCACTGCACCCTAGTGCGGGGGAGCCTCCTTAAACCCTGCAGCTGGTGATGCCGACTGGCCAGATTATCACCTCCATTTACTGTATATCAAGTACAGCCACATTTTTATAGAAATAAAATGTCTATCGCACACAGAAATTTCAAAATAAAGACAAAAGACAATAAAATTCTGCCATCTAGTGATAAGCAGCTTGATGTGTGTCTGGATATTTCTGTATTATTTACATGTATGTAGATATGTTCTTTTCCCATATTCTAACCCAAACTGGCTCGTGCCACATGCTCTCTTCTTTGATTTTCTAGTTATCAAGATGCTGCAGGCCTCTCTCTACACGTCTGTTTCCTCTCAGTGACCTCATGGTGCTCCCCATCCTCCATCCCTTCACCTGGCAGGTCCCCGAGGCATGCCCAGGCTGCAGTGCTTATGGCCTGAAAGGTTTCTGGGGGCACTTGTCCCCGCTTCCTCAGGATGGGGCTGTGATCAGGGCACGGCTGCCTTCAGGGCCCCACTAAGCAGAGCCACACCCTGCACAGAAGTCCTCCTGAGCTCTTAAATCAAGGGGTGTGAGGTGAGTGGCGGCTGTCTGTCCCTGCTGGATTTGATTGTAGGCCTTTCAAAACAGACCCATATTCTCCCAGACCCAGAGGCTGGCTGGGTGTTTCCCTAACCCCCAGGGGCTCCAGACATCACAATAAACAACAATGAACAGGTGTCTGGCGTTTACAGCTTGTAAAGCATTTCCGTGCTCTTCAGGCAATTTTGAGCCTCACAACAACCCTATATATTAGGCAAAGCAGATAGCTATTATCTTCATTTTACAGATGAAAAGACTGAGGCTCAGAGAGGTGGGGTGATTTATCAAATGACCTCCCTGCTTTCCTCCCTTTCAGAGTCTGGCTGACTCCAAAACTGCACTAACAACCTGGCTCCGGCATCACCTCTTCCAAGGAGCCTTCCCAACCCCCACCCCACCCCAAGCTGTGCTCCCTTGAAGGTAATGATGGGTCTGGCTTATCTCCCCATCCACGCTCCCCAAGCATAGAAAAATTTCAATAGATGGCTGCTAGGATGAAGATCATTATGATTATTAAGGCAGGAAATAATCTCCCCACGTTACGTATGAGAACAAGGGGCATAAAGGGACAGGACTTGCCTACGGAGCACGCCAGGGCCAGGTCAGGTCTCCCTTCGCAGAGGTGTGGCTTCTTTTGCCCCACTGCGTCCCCGCTGTCTGCAATCTCGGACTCCAGCCCACTGCCGGAGGCTCATTTCGGGCTCCTCGTGCACTGGCTGGGCCTTACCTGGTTCAGCCAGGTGTGAAGGGGGCTGTTGCGGGAGGGGCCTGGCGAGGGCAGGCTCAGTCCCCGGCCTGATCCACCACCCTGGGGCAGCCTTAGCAATGGCAGCAGGAGCTGGCCACCCGCTGAGCACTTCCACGCGCCACGCCCTGTGCCAGCACTTTCTGTCTACATCTCACCTCCTCCTGCGGCAGGCGCCATTATGATGCCACTTTGCAGGTGGGCAAGGAAGGACCCCAGCCCAAGGCTCCCTCAGTGGCTGAGCCGGGCCTGGACACCAGGGCTGCATCCCTGGCAGCAGGCAGCCCCAGGAGCGTGTGGGCACAAGAACCAGAAACAAATGCACAGAGTACAAGAGGTAGCTCCTGCCAGGAGGTCTGCAGGCTTGGCTTGGCAAGGGCCCAAACTCTCCCTCCCCATCACCCGGCCACCTCCCCCCAGGGCTGGCTGGAGGATGAGACTTGGGCCCAGGGAACACAGGCTGGCCCTGGCGGTCCTCAAGTACCCCCTGTGGGCAGGGTCACACCACCTGCCAGCTCTCTGCAAGCTCTGGGCTCAAGGCCAGGCTGGGAGCAGCTGTCACATCAACCCTGCACAAGTTCTCAGCTCCCTACTTCTCCTTGTTAGAATAAGGCCTTACCTATCTGCTCCCAGCTGGTTGTAAGATGCTGAGCAAGGCGCTGCCTTTCACTGGGCTTCACCTTCCCTCTCTGTGAAATGATGCCAGAGGCGGGGTGAGTGGACGGTGGGAGTGGGGGGTTGGAGGGGGTTGTCTCAATGGGACCCACCACCTCTGACATTGCAGGGTTTGCCTGCAGGCAGCATAGCATAGTGATTAAGACCCCAGACTCTGAAGCCAGATGACATGGTTCAAATGTATGGTCCTGGGTAAGCTGCCTAACCTCTCTGGGCCTCAGTGTCCTCATCTATAAAATGGGGATAATAGTAGGAAAAAGACTGAAAGTAAATACACCAAAATATTTATATTGAGTATCTGAGATGAAAAGAGAAGATGTGGGTAATTTATTTTCTGTCTGTTTCCCCCTCTTTTTCTAAATTCTCCATTATCAAGTATTTATAATATCGAGTATAATAGAAAAAACAAATATACTTTCTTTGTAAATTAACTTTATTGAGATACAATTTACCTACAATATAATATACCTATTTAAAAAGGGAAAGAATAATGAATTGATAGTATGTATCCTATAGATTGCTTTGAGGATTGAATGGGTTAATGTATATAAAATCTTAGATGGTATCTGGAGCATTCGAAAGGCTATTGTTTGCTAAACAAATAAGCCCAAGACCAGCCTGGCTTCCTCTCCTCCTGCCGCCTCACCCCCAGCACCAAGCTCCCCTGTCCACTGCCCCCATATTCACTGCCTGCTGCCAAATTCATCACCCTAGGCCTGGACTACTTCCACAATCTTCTATCTGTGCAACCCCAGAGGAACTGCACTAACAGTAAAATCTGGCCATGGCCCTGCCCTGTTCAAGAGCCTTCCATGGCTCCCCAGTGCCCTGGACAAAAAGCCCTTGCTCCTACAAGAGACACTGTTTCAGCAAGTTATTTAACTTCTCTGTATCTTTGTATTCTTAACTGAAAAAGAGGAATAAAACATCTGTAATATTTTAAACAAAAATAACAAAAAAAGAGAAATGAAAATAGTATCTCCCTCACAGACTTATAGGATTCTGTGGTGTCTGGGTGGGGTACACAGTCTGACTCGTGGCCGCTCTCACCTGCCTCCTCTGCCCTCTCCCATCGTCACGGTGCTAGCCTGCTCTTCCTTGAACTTGCCAGGGATGGTCCTATCTCAGGGCTTTTGCACTGGCCGTTCCTTCCACCCTTCTACAATTCTGGAATGGCTCTTTCCCCACAAATCAGCCCAGCTCACTCCTTCACCTCTTTTGTCCAAAAGTCACCTTCTCAGTGATTCCCCTCATACCCTATTTAAAACTACAACACCCTCCCTTCCATTCCCCCTTACACACCACG